ACAACAAAGGAAAAAAAACTACTGCTCATGCTCGCCCGGCAAAGCAACTCGCTCGCCTGGGTTTCGCCTGGCGAAGCAGGGGTGAATTCCCTTCCCCATACAAAAATAGTAGCACCTATTTTTCACCTGTCATTCGCTTCCTCTTTCGCCTAGCGACTTTGAAGCAAATCGCTTTCGCCCGACGAAACACCTTGCTCGCCCAGTGAAACGTGCACATCAATCAATTTTTCTTCTGTATTTCTGTATCAAACCAGACCCAAACCCCTTGCAATTTCCACCTCTCATTGTACAAAGATGCACATAAATCGCATAGTGATTATAATCCAATAACAACACATCATCATCTTATACATCTAGAAACCCCAATTTCATTACTAATCATCTCACTTTCATCACAATCTCGCCATTTCCTAAAACCCTAAAACTAAGTACATACATCTACAATCTATATCCATTACAACGAAAAACAATATTCCCCATACCTTAGATATTTCAGTTTTGATCCTCCTCTTGAGTTCTTCTGGAATTGCTCTGAGCTCTAGCATCTTCTTCTACTTTTCCTCAGAGCTCTCTTCCAAAATATGATCGTGCCAAAAAATGAAACCTTTCTCCTCTATTTTCCCTTTTACCCTTAGGACCCCTAATATGTCTTCTCAACTTCGTCCTCACTTAATCCATCCAACATTACCATCTTGCCTTTAGTGTTTCAATTATTTATTTAAAATAATAATAATAAGATATTCACACATTCCACTATTATTATTATCAAAATAATTCTAATAAAACATACACTTCTAATTATTCTCAATACCCCTTTAACAACATCAATACCCCACAACACAAATCACCAGACATCAAATATCTCACCAAGATTCACCAAAATCACGAATATTTATAATAAATAAATTAAATAATATTCTAACTATTTTGGGGCGTTACAAAATCCGCGGATGACAACACACTAGCAACATAAGGAATTGGTGATACCTCAATCATGAGGAAAAATGGTGAGGCTTCCTCGATTAAATATGGCCTATATATTTCTGGAATCAAGTATAATCTTTTTAGCATTTGTCAATTGCTTGAAAGGAATTACCAAATTTATATGAAAAGATAGTGTTAAAAGTTACGGATGCAAATGCGAGTTTGATCCTAAAGGCCCATATGGCTCAAAATATGACTTTCAAAGTTGAATTGAAAGTAATGGAGCATTTTCATCTTGCAAAGACATCTATTAGGGAAGAACGAATATGGAAATATAGTCTTGGGCATTTGAACTTCAAAGATCCAAATATTATGCAAAAAAAATAACTTGGTTACGAGGCTTCCATTGACCAATATGAAAACTAAAGTATCTGAAAAGTGTGTGCAGGCCAAGCAACACCGAGGTAACTTTAGCAAAGATATAGGATGCATAACCAAGTTTCATCTCGAGGTGGTGTATTTGAGTGTTTATGGACCGATGCAAGTTGACTCAATTGCAGGCATTAAAACTTTGGACTTATTTGACCAAAAGAAAAGACGAGGTGCTGAAAGTTTTTAAGAAGTTCAAATTCATGATAGAAAGAAAAAGTGATCACAAAATCAAAACTCTAAAAACAAATGGTGGAGGTGCAGATTTATCAAATGATTTTGAGAAATTTTTGATCAATAGAGTGTTGCACATGAGATAGTGCCACCTTACATGCCTCAACAATATGGAGTTTTCAGGAGGAAGAAACGATCGATTATGAACATGGTGAGAAACATGTTTAAAGGAAAGTAGTTGCCAAAAAAATTATTGAGAGAAATGTTTTTCACAACTGCATATTTGTTGAATAGGTGTCCAAAAAAGAAGTTGGAAAATATTACACCCGAAGAATCATGGACTGGATTCAAACTAGGTATAAATCACTTGAAGGTATTTAGTTTGGTTGCGTATAGATATGTTTTGGATAAGTTTAGAAAGAAGCTAGACGAAAAGGGAGAACAAATGATACTTATTGGGTATCACCCATCAGGTGGCTACAAACTTTATGACACAATTAACAAGAGAATCTTAATTAGTAGAGACGTGATTTTTGATGAATTGAGGGTGAGGACCCCTCTCCACCCTTCATGCATTTGACACCAATATTAGAGTAACCCCCTTTACCTTAAATTTCAACCTCAAGTTTTCAACTTTGTTTAAGTCTTCTTCTTCCTATAACTCTCCTTAGGGTTCCTAGCCACTTGACTTTATTTTCCACTTTTTCTCAAATTCTATGCATTCAAATAAAAATTTCAATCCCTCACATTATCTATATAAATATACTTTTCATAATTCTCAAATTTCCCTCAATTTATGAACCCTTATTCCTTATCATACTAATTTCATCCCAAAACTCTAATTCCACCCCATAATTCACTATTTCACTTATTTTATTATTGTCAATTAAATAAAATCTAAGAACTCCCAATAAAAACCTACAAATTACCAAATAATTCACACAAATCATATTAAAAATTTTAGTGACTCAAATAATTAAATAAACATCAATAAAAATTTAATTAAATAAATCAATTAAATTTAGGGAGTTACTTTATCACTCTATATAAATTTTTTTAATGCTATCCATTCAATTTGGAACTTGAATTGTTTTAATAACTTTTTTTTTTATTATAATTTAATTTTAGAGTTGAATAATGGTAAAACTAAGCAAAATCATTATTATTCATTTTACTTTAAACCTTTCTTTTGTGTATATAAAATTCATTTAATTTTATTTATGTGTTTTTCATGGATGATTCATGAGTTTTAATGTTAAATCAAATAATGATTATAGGAAGAAATTATTAATAATTATAGTATAATGATTTCAAATTTATGAGTTTTGAATTTAATATAATAATAAGTCTTAAATTGATTTTTGTTACTATTTAGGATTCATTTATTATTAATATAATTCTATTATTGTTATTATTGATCAATTTTATTTAAAATTTTGATTTTAATTGTGAGAGTGTGGAAACCATTTATAAGATGAATTGACAAATATAAATATAGACCCAAAACAAACACTGGAAGTTGTATTAATACATTTGTGTGAAGATTGGAATCAATAGATTTGTATGATGTTTTATGTTTTGAAGCTTTATTTACCAAGTTTTCTTAACTGATATTTAACACGTGGCATTTAAGTTTTCAATGGTTTGGATTTAAAGTTATAATAATAAAACGTTTTAGTCTTAATTAAAAAAAACACACCAAAACTCTTTCATCCTAACCATTAATATCTCGTCGCGGTCTCCACAATAACTGTGTTTGTGCTTCACAATTTCTTCTTATCCTCACAAAATGAAGTAGATTCAAACTCGTGATTTTAGTTATTTTAGAACGTGATAGATTTGAAATCAATAAATGTTAGTGGTTTTATTTACTATATTTTTTAAAGGTTTTATTTTAATAATTTTAAGAAAAATTTAGAGATACTCAACATTTAAGATAATTATGTTTTTAATAGAAAAAAAAATACAATAGTTTATTTTAAATAAAAAAAAGTGTTAAAACAGACTAATACTTTAAATATCAAATTTAAGTGCAGATAAATCAATTATAAATTTTAATAGGTTCAATATATGAGTTAACTTTAGCCCGTAATTAAAAGAAGAAAAAACCTATTGATTTAATGTTTAGCTCAAAATTTGATATAACTCAAAAAAATTTAAGTTCCATATTAGTTAACTGGGAGAGCGATGGGCAGGCGCGGACGACCACCAAAGGTGGTGGCAACGCCGGAAACATCATCTGATAATCTGAACGACGATCAACAAGGCGACAAAGATTCAACATCTAAGACAACAATGGAACATGAAAAAGAGAAAACAGTAGGAGCGATTACAATGGACCAGGAAATCCATGAAACCCTAGAAGCAAAGAAGGGGATAAGCGAACCCAGAAAAATCTAGGTTGACGTCATTAGCGGAAATCGCAACCCTGGTAATGGATTATCACTCGAATTCATAGCACCAAAAATTGTCAATGGAGCACCTGAGGTTATAATTGAGGAAGCAGATATTATCAATGAGGTGAAATTATGGGAAACCTCTTTGATAATGTATGTTATTGGTGGTGAATTAAGCATGAATGGTGTCAAACAGTTCATGGCCAAACAATGGAATTTCGTCAAGTTGCCTGACATGTACTACAACAACGAAGGCTATTTTATTCTGAGATTTCATTCGCATAAAGAAAGAGACACTGTTCTATTAAAGGGACCGTATACCATACGAAACATGCCGATGTTACTAGCTGAATGGAAGCCAAATTTCAATTTGAAGATTGATATGCTGCGTACCATCCCGGTTTGGGTCCAGTTTCCCCAACTGCCACTCCATCTATAGGGAAAAAAAATACTTGGCAAAGCTAGCAAGCGTACTCGGAACCCCACTAATGACTGATGAATGTACCGCCAACAGATATCGTATTTCATATGCTAGAGTACTAGTCGAAATAGACATCACCCAGGAGCTGATTAAGGAAATAACCATTACGGACGACAACGGAGAAAAGATGCAGCAAATGGTGGAATATGAGTGGAGACCACCGTATTGTATGAAATGTCATCGAATAGGACATAGATGTGAGGACAAACGGCAGGAAAATTAGGTGAAAAAATGGGCCCCCAAAGAGAAGAAAACAAATGAGTACCAATTGAAAAAACCTCAGGAGGAGTTTGTTCTTAAGACACCAATACACCAGAGAGTATTGCCTGTGAATGTTCCGACACAACAACCTATTGCACAGGTCCAACAACAGACGGGAATTGAGAGTACTAATGGACCAATCCTCCAACCAACAAATGAACAATAGACGGATGAGGGAGAATCTGAAGGCTGGACAGAAGTTCGGAGGCGTGATAAAGACAAGAGTCAGTACAGTAGTGTTGGGAAGAATCCTAGAGCGACTCACGTGAAAAGGAAACATGGAAATCTAGTTGCAACACTTGGGGATAGTTCTGCCTGTTCTTAGAGAATGTTCCATGATCGTTTCATGGAACGTGAGGGGGCTAAATAAAGCGGGCAAGGTTAGAGAGATCAGCTCCCGTCTTCGAAACCTTGACCCTGCAATAATTGTATTAATTGAGACTAGAGTGAAAAAGGAAAAAGTTGTGGGAATTAGAAAGAAATTAAAGATGCGTGGTAGTTACATGGATAATTATGCCCAACATGATAATGGCCGAATTTGGATCCACTGGGATGACAACAGCAGACAGGTTGAATTTGTTGCGAGCACGGATCAAATGATTCACTGTAAGGTGAATGATGCTAATGATAATTTCATGTTCTGGATGACGGCAATATACGTGCAAAATCAACTGCATCATAGAAAGAAGTTATGGCAAGACATTGAGAAAATCTGTGCAAACCAGATTGGGCCTTGGATGTTGATCGGTGACTTCAACAATGTTATGAAGATCGAAGATTGGATTGGCGGGAATGAGGTGACAGAGAACGAATACATGGATCTAACTGAGATGATGAGCAAGACTGAAGATTGGAATCAATAGATTTGTATGTTGTTTTATGTTTTGAAGCTTTATTTACCATGTGATTTTAGAATGAATTCGTATCCCCTCCATTTTTCTCAACGGTCTTGTTATCAAGTTTTCTTAACTGATATTAGACTAATACTTTAAATATCAAATTTAAGTGCAGATAAATCAATTATAAATTTTAATAGGTTCAATATATGAGTTAATTTTAGCCCGTAATTAAAAGAAGAAAAAACCTATTGATTTAATGTTTAGCTCGAAATTTGATATAACTCAATTATAAGTTAAACGAAAAAATGATTTAAATTGAATAAAAACACTGTTTGACTCAAAGGTTGAAAATTGGGTCCACATATATCACCCATGGGTTGGTTCGATTCAGGAGTATGGGCCCAGTTCGAACAATTGTTCACCCTTGTCTATAATTAAGATATGTTATGTATACAACAAATTAAGGTAGGTTATTTATACTAAATATTTCATAGTCAAATACAACAAATTAATATATGTTATTTATACTTAATGTTCTAAATTATATATGAATAGCATTTTGTTTTTCAGTCTGACATAAGAATAATTTGTTAAAGGTTGAGATATATACTAGGTAATAGATAAAATCATAAAACTCGGGCCGATGGATGTACCTGCATTGATATTAACTATGTAACACTTTAAAATTTCCGACTCTTTAATTTTAAAAAGAAAAACAATATTATTCTAAAAAATGTGATACACATTCACAACATACAAATTCTTCCAATTAAAACAAATTAACATGTAGCGGAAATTCAACATTTAACAACATTACTTCAAATTGTCTCTTCAAAATGAAATACTTAATTAAATAACAAATCAATATCTTCAACAGAAAACAAAAAGAAACGACTCACTTCTAGTGTTACAGAATAGAACTACTGAAAATTAAATAACAGGAAACAATAAATAAACAAAGAAAAGACTAAATGTTATCTTCTAACTCATAGCAAATATTGCTCCTCCTGAGTATCTGTACCAGTGTGTACAGAACATCACAAACAAACAAAATAGGGGTGAGGATATACTCAAATACATTAACAGTGCAAAAGAATGCATGGGTAGCATCAAATAACACAATCATCAAACTCACAATTCAGTTACAACAACAAAAACAACAACCAATTCATAATGTTTTTATGTATGCAATCTGACTCACAACTTGACTCAATGCTTGTGGTACCAATTTAGACATCATAAATATGTTACATATCTCGTCCACTCAATAATGGTCCCTCTTCAAACCGGGTCCGCACTTCTAAACCACAATCGTCAGTGATTCCCACTTATGAATTAGTCACTTGTCACCGATCCTAACTTTTAAATCACCCACTCGCCATTGATCCCCTCTTCTAAATCAACAACTTATCTCAGGACGAAGTCCACATATCAACCACTGGCACATATGATACATTATATATAAAATAATGTAACAAAATTTATGGTTCCACTTCTAACCATACACAACAACATATAATCTAATCACGGTAGTTCTCACTCTGAGCTACATATCTTAACATCAACAACATATAATTATAACTCACCATATAATTATACATGCATTACACAACCTACATTCACACATCAAACAAAGCATTAGCATAAAGCTTAAGAATATCAATTCATCTCATAAACGACAATTGTTGTAATCGTAGACATACTGACATTTCAAGTCTTAAACGACAACTCCGTGTTGTCACGCTCGCTAAGTGAGATTTGACTCGCTAAGAGAGAATAAAAAACTAGAAAATATCATATTCTGTCACATCTGGCTAAGCTAGCGTCTTCCTTGTTAAGCGATGTTCATCCTTACTAAGCGAAGTCGCCCAGAAATGCAAAAATGAAAAACGCGATTCAACCATTGGAGCCCTATAAAAGCTTCAATTTGGACCCATAATCGCTTAAATCGAACGGAAGAAAAAATTACATATTATACCATGTATATAACATCATATAACCACTGATTCGTCATCTAAATTATCAATCTAATCCAACTCTTAGAGGATGGTTATCAAATCAAAACCCCATGAACATGAACGTTCAAACTCCGAATTGCAAGTATACATTATACATGAAATTCATTAATAAAGTAGAGCACAGTTTTTATAATTTTCACAATAATTATGACACACAACTTTTTCCATCAACACATAAGCTTCAACAATGGTGAAAAAGATGAGAAAACCTAGAGGAGGGTAAAGATCTCTCTCTACCCTTCATGTATTTGACACCAATATTAGAGTAATCTCCGTTACCTTAATTTTCAACCTCAAGTTTTAAATTTTGTTTATGTATTCTTCTTTCTAGAGCTCTACTTAGGGTTCTGTACCACTTCACTTTCTTCTTTTTTCTCTCTCTAATTTTTCTCAAATTCTATGCATCACATAAAAGTTTCAATCGCTTACATTATCTATACGAATGACCTAAATACATTTTTCATAATTCTCTACTTTCACTTAACTTATGAGCTCTTACTCCTTACCACACTAATTTCATAAAATTCTAATTCCACCCCATAATTCACTATTTCTTTATTTTATTATTTTCAATTAAATAAAATATACTAACTCTCAATAAACCCCACAAAATATCATATAATTCACACAAATCATATAAGAAATTTTAATCACTCAAATAATTAAATAAAAGGAAATAAAAATTCAATTAAATAAATTTATCGAGTTCGGGGCATTAGAATGTCACTCTATGTAAATTATTTTAATGCTTTATGTCCCTTCAATTTATAACTTGAATTCTTTTAATATCCTATATTTCTTTATTTGGTTTTGGAGTTGATTAATAGTAAAACTAATCAAAATAAATATTATTGGTTTTTTTTAAACTAATAAAAATAATGTGTTGATAAAATTCATTTACTTTTATTTATATGTGTTTCACGATGATTTATGAGTTTAAATGTTAGGAAGTTAAATCAAATAATGATTGTAATAAATTATTTAAAATTATAGTATAATGCTTTTAAATTTATGAGTTTTGATTTTAATATGCTAATTAAACTTTAATTGTTTTTTTTATTATTTATCAATTTTAAAATTTATTCAGGATTTATTTATTATTTATAGAATTGCTATTATTGATCAATTTTAATTGTGAGAGTGTAGGAATCCACTTATAGGATAGGTGTATGGATAAATACAAATATAGACCAAATACAAACACTAGAAGTTGTAATAATACAGTGGTTTTATTTATGATGTGATTGTTATAGATTTGAAACTAATAAATGTTGTGGTTTTGTTTACTAAATTTTTTTAAGGTTTTAATTTAAATAATTTAAAGCATACTAAATATTTAAGATAATTATGTTTTTAGTAGAAAAAAGAAAAACAATAGTTTATTGTAAATGAAAAAAACAGTTAAAATAGCCTAATACTTTAAATATCGAAATTTAAGTGAAGAAAACTCATAAATTATAATAGTTCCAATAGATGAGTTAATTTATCTCCTTAAAAAAAAAAGAAAAATCTACTAGTTTAAAGTTTAGACAAAAATTTGATATGGCTCAATAACAAGTTAAACGGAAAAAATGATTTAAACCGAATAAAAATACGGTTTGACTCAAAAGTCGAAAATTAGATCCACACATCTCAGTGATGTGTTCGTTCGGTTCTAGAGTATAAGTCTAAACCGAACAGTTGTCAATGCCTACTTATTACTCACGAATCATCTATAATGTGGCCGATTTATTAGATTTACATAACTTTAGATAAAAATTACTAATGAGTCTTTTAAGCATATATTTAGTTTTTGGTAATTTAGTGATATATTTTTATATTATATTTAAAAATAAAAAATATAAATACTTATAAAATACTATTTGTTCTGGCCTGGGTCCCGGCTTGATCGGGCAGACCCAGCCCAATGATATTCTGCCAAGCCTAATTCAGCTTGGGCCACAGCCGTCGAGCACAGAGTCCCTGCCGGACAGGCAATGCCCCTCCGCGGGAAGAACCCTCTCCCCTGTCAGGCAGAACAACGTGTCCTTCACACGTTCTCCACGTGCTCCCCTCCGCGGGGACACGTCACCAACCAACTGTCCACCTCCGAAAGAGCAGGTCAAACTCACTTTCCGGAGATCACGGGACAGTTGAACTAGGGTGAAGACCACATCCTGGTCTTCAATATGCCACGTAAGCCCTAGCAGTCACTTGGATTGGGCCTGACCATCCAGCCCAACTCAAATGACCGTTGGCCCTGCGTTGGGGTCTCTCTATAAATACCCTCTTTCACTAAAGGGTCAGGTATTCACTTCTTACCCCTTTTCTCTATTTGCTGTCACTCTGTCCAAACTCTTACTTCGGCATCAGAGTGCATTGCAGGTACACCCCCCATCTCTTTTTCAACACCGGTGAACAAGCGACAGATCAACAACGTGTGGCAAGTCCTTGGTCCCCTTCTGATCAGGTCAGATCAGTGGCCCCGACTGTGGGGACATAAAACTTCCCTGTTTCTCCGAGCAGAGAACCAAAGTTTCATCAACATTCCGCGATCATGGCTAGCCCACACCACGACGATGTCGTTCACGGCCTCATCATCGCTCTCGCCGCAAACGGCGGCAAGCAAACAGAGACATCCGAACCTCTAGAGACCGACGAAAGGGACGACCAGACTGCCTCTCCCTCGTCCACGAAAGCTGCACACTAGACCGTTCTTCGACCAAGGAGCCCGACAGCGTTCCAACCCATTCCTATCCCGGCCGGAGCAGACTCGACAGTGGCCTCCCTCTTCGCGGCCATCAACCAAACGAATCAGTTGTTGTTCCAACAAAACGCACGGATCGGCGCACTAGAGCACGAAGTCCCGTTGAGGTCCCCTCTGCGGGAAGACCAGAATGGAAATTCGAGGAGTCCATCCCCTCCTCCCAGGAATCGTCGACCCCGGCTAGAGAGGCCCCAACTCGAAGTAGTGCGGGAGCGGACTAGGTCGCCAAGGAGACAAGTCCGAGAGCAACGGCCAGCCAG